TTTTTACCGACAACAGGAGATCCCGCGCGCAGCAACGAACGAAAAAATTTCGCCGAGAGAAAGGGACCGCTCATTCTCCAAACACTACTGCGAATTGTAGCACACGTCTCGCATTCATCGGAGGGGCTTTTGTCGCAAAAATAAATGGGAAACCAAAAGCGTAAAGGGCACACAATACGCACATGCACACACGACAAGACACGTACGCCCCTAAGCCCCTTCCTGTCAAGGGCAGGCCAATATATCACGGTACCCCCCGCGTCTCCACAACGAATCCCGAGTACCCGACCACCTCACCCCAGCCCTATCTGGCCACCCGCCAAACCTTCATGTGTTGCTCGACCCTTTTTCTCCCTCCCCGAATATGCCCTACTTTCAAGCACCGTAGTCCAGAGCGGGTTCAACCTGCACAGGGCCCCTTCCGCCTGTCAGCCCTCGATGACTACAGTGCCTCGTTGCGCTGCAGGTTGTATAGAGGGCGGCATTGTCGCCTGTTTTCCAGTATCAANCCTCACCCCAGCCCTATCTGGCCACCCGCCAAACCTTCATGTGTTGCTCGACCCTTTTTCTCCCTCCCCGAATATGCCCTACTTTCAAGCACCGTAGTCCAGAGCGGGTTCAACCTGCACAGGGCCCCTTCCGCCTGTCAGCCCTCGATGACTACAGTGCCTCGTTGCGCTGCAGGTTGTATAGAGGGCGGCATTGTCGCCTGTTTTCCAGTATCAACCTCAGCGCCAGGCGGGTGGGGACGTCTCCCGACCTCGTCGGCTTCGGCACCCCCGTGTCGGTTGTTTGAAAGTCTTCCGGCAGCGTGTCGTTTTCCGTCAGATGAGGACGGTCGCGCCCGGTCTCCGTGTCTTCCTCTGACATGTGGACCAGCTTCACTTGGTCGTCGCGGAGGTAGTTGTGCAGACGAAAGAGGGCCGTGATGAGGGCGCTGCGGCCTGCGAACTGAACCCGCAACGGCCTCCACAAAATCCCCCACTGCCCCACGAGGATGCCGTAAGCTTGCTCGATCTTCACTCGCAGTTGGCTCAGGTGGAATTGAACGAGTCTTCGTCTCGTGGCAGCAACTTTCCCGGGTACGGCGTGAGGAGATGATCGCTGAGAGGGTGCGCCGCGTCGCCTAGCACGTAGTACCCAGGCGGTAGGCACGCCACCGAGTCTGACAGCGAAGAACGATTCCATGCTGTCCAGTCATTCGTCGCACCGGCCGAAATGGCCGACATGCTGCAGAAGCGGTAGTTGGCGTCACAGGTCGCCTGGATGTTCAACCCGTACCCACTCTTGTTCCCGGAAAAGTAGGAGAGCACGTTCGGGGTATCCACCGGAGACGGGGCGATGGTCTTGACGAACAGGCCATCTCCAGCAGCAACACAACCGGAGAATACGCCGCCGGTGCTCTTGGCCTGCAAGGGAGGGATGAGTGTTCCGGAAAAAGAGAGTCGGCAAGAGGCGACAAGAGAGCCGGCGGCGGTGGGAGGTGGGGCGCGGGCCATCAGCGATCGTTTTGAAGAGATTCGGACCACGGCTTGGACAGACATGCAGGCGAATGGGCTCTTCGGTCGTTCCACTCATCGGTAAAAACGTGTACCCATGCAAAAAGTGCACCCATGCAAAAAAAAAAGGCTTGTCTGCACGGGCGGGGTGTTCGAGAACGAAATGGATCTGAGATCGCTGCGGTGGTTGCATGTGGTTCGCAGACCGGTAGAAGATATTCATGGGACCAGGTTGCTTAGTTTCTCGAGGCCTCGCTTCTCCCTCCTTCTGTATCCTCTAAGTTTTCTACTACACGAGATGAGCCACAACTCAATCCGGGGAACTCAACTCGTTGCCTCTCGCTGTACTATGTCGCAGTCGGAAACAAGGCCGGGGGCGACAGCGCAACCGGGTGGGTGACACGAGATGGAACCCACGTGCTTCGGGTTTCGATTGAACAAGGAGTATGGCCGAATGCTGTTGCTGAAGGAAGAGTACAAAACAAAACACGACACTATATGAAGTTAACGCTGTCTTCGCGATGACAGGAAAGATACCCGCCTTACCGAAAAGAAACGAGAGCGCGGTACAAGTAGACGGTGAAGTCATCCATGATGAGGACACAAACGGATAAACACGAAAAAAATACCACACACACGTTTTACCCACCTCCCACTCCTTCGCTTGCCGGGCGCAATCATCCCTTGTCTGAGGGAAAAAGAACGCCCCGACCTCCGGCGTGTTGTTGATCGCGTCCACCACTTCCCACAAGACGTGGAATACAGTCTCCTTCGCAATGCCGAACAGCACCGCGACATCTAGGTATGATGCTCCTGCCAGCATGCGCAACGCCACCGCCAAACGAATTCTTACCGACACAGCTCCGCTGCGCGTGCGCTTCCCTGCATCCCATAAAACAAAACAATGGCAGCATGACACCATGTGTAAGCTACATACGTGGAGGCGCAACCAAGCACGTTGTAGACTATCCGTGTTATTCAACGTGCCCACGTCCCTAACCCTCTGGGGGGCGTTGCATGATAGCGTATGTCGGAAGTCGTTCGTGGTGCCGGAAAAAAAAAAGTTCGGCCGGAATCGGTAGCTAGAAATTGGACACAGACATGCCCAGCATCGAGGCAGGCTTCAACACCGCACAACACGCATACCCGAGAAAAAGCAATTCCGCCCCCGCCACCTACAAGGTCTCTCTCGCTCTATTCCTAGCCCTCCTTCTGTCCCTCTCTCTGTCTTTCCTCTCGCTCACTTGCATAGAAGTCGTTGCTCTCCAGGATTGGTCGCAGCAGCTCCGCAAGTTTGTAAGCTGTGCTCCTCCATCCGGTACATACATGCGCTTGATGTCTCTCACGTGCTCTTCCCAGTCCAAGTGCCGCGGCTCATGGATAGGTAGCCGTGCCTTGGGGGCAAAGCTCTGAACGACCGTCGTTGTAACTACAGTCAGCACCAGCACTATTGCCGCCACAGCCTTCATTTTCCTCAGCACATCGGCATTGTTTGTGTGCCTTGCTCGTGCCGGCGGGCGAGGACAGCCCGCCGAATCTGCAGGCACGCCCCGCTTTCTACGGTCAGCCATCACCCAAGAACAACCCTAGCTGGCGTTCTGTTGCGAGGGGAACTCGTGGTTCAACACTTTGCAGCCCTCACGTGCTCTGCACTATAGTTTGGAAAAGTGTCCAAAAAGAGTTCCAAACTTTAGAACGAACTGGCGCCAAACTTTCTGGCCCGACTTCGTTCCAAACTATTTTGAAAAGTTTGGACAAACGCCTACACACAAGTTCCAAATATTCCGGAACTTTGGAACTTTGGAAAATTATTTGGCGTGTTTAAAACGGCCCTTAGACGAGGGTTATTGATCCGGTTGGCCGGGTTTTCCCTCGAGCCTGTTGTTGAATTTGTGTCCCTTTGGTAGATCAGGGGTATCTATGCCCCACGTTAGGTTTGCCATTCGCGTGCAAACCGGGGAGGGTGTTCGTGTGTTTGGATACGGACTGGTTAGATCTACCGGCAACAACAGAGGGCACGCGGATGGGGCAGATGTACACCTTGAAATGGTTACTTGTGCGGGGACCCCTTGAACTCCAAAGAGAGCTTCTTCACCAATGGTATATGACAAATATTTGTCATGTACCATTGTTCTTCACTTCTCCCTACTTCCCTTGCGTGTCTAATACAAGAAATAAAACGTCTTCCCCTTCCAAGTAAGGACATATACGAACAGCTGCATGTGGAGCACTCGTAAAGCTGAGCATGGGCTGCGGCCGTCTCAGGAGCATACCCGCCACCTTTACGACTACCGCATGCATTTCGAGCTTCATGTAGACCAAAGGCACGCCGCATGAATACCGTTGGACAAGCACAACAATGAAGATGTGGGTGCGGTGGAAGGGTGATGGGTTTTGCATGAGGGGAGTGCGCCGTAGAGCAGGGAGGAGGTCCGGCATTCGAACAGTGATGGTCGCAATGTAGCTACGACGGGCGTTAGATAGAGCGGGGAGGGCAATCACGCCGAACGTGACCCTTGTGGACCTCTACATGGTTCAACGTGTTTGCTCCGGTGCGATTTTGTTCAGGCGATACCGCGTATGTATTTAACTCTACCCTATCGTGATCTGCGGTACGTCGATATTCATATTCCAGAGGTCTCTGTTGAGCGACCTTCTATTATTATGCTCTGTTTCATTAACCTGTCCGCCCAGAAGAAAATAAAAAAGCCCTCCGAGTGGGGCCCTTGGCGCAGAAAAAAAAACAAGAACCCCGTGTATCATACATACATATACGGATATGCCTGCTCGAAACAAGAACTCGAAAATAATCCACTGTCCACCCAGAAGAAAAGAAAAAAGCCCTCCGAATGGGCCTTGGCGCAGAAAAAATAGCAAGAACCCCGTGTGTCATACATGCGGATATGCCTGCTCGAAACAAGAACTATGAAAATATGAACATGTGCTCAATTTGAGGCAGCCAATAAGCATTGAGCCTTGGCCAATATAAGCGGTTCTGAAGTGCGGGCGCCATCTATTTGTACTGTTCAGCAGCAGCATTAAAAAAATGGTAGTCTACATACAGTAGGTGGAGGAGGTGTGATTGTTTTGTTGTTGGCGTTGTTGATTTTGTTGTTGTTGCCGTTTGTTGTGGTGTGTTCGTCATCATCATGGTCGTTATTATCGATGAATGTATGTATGTATGTACCGTAAGTGACACAAGATAACACACCCCGATGATAACATTTCTGAGTTTAAAAATATTTATCACCGGTGTGGTATCCTGTGGCGGGGGTGGTATCTTATGTATCCCGGGTAATAAAGTGCAGCTCGCAGGGAGCCCTAAGGGGGTGTGATAAACCGGGGGGGGTGATAGCACGTCGGACCACCCACAGGGTATGTTTGGGGGTGTGATAAATGAGGGGTGTGATAAAAAGGGGGTGTGATAGCACGTCCCAACACCCACGTGTGATGGTAAATGAAGGGGTTTGTTATACTGCCCCGCACATACCATGGTACGCCACCTACCGTAATGTAATACTGCGAGATGTGGTAAACAGACGGGGCTCAACGGAGGTGACGAAACGCTTGAGCACATGACCTCGACGATGTGTTACCCGCTCAACGCCAAAGAAAGTTTCAAACAAAAACGGACTTGAATGGAGCAGAAAAAAACGAAAAAAAAATGTTAGGATCGAGGGCGCCCGCGCCCCGCGGCGCTGCGGCAAGTAAGGTGTCGCCTGGGAGCTAGGTATACGTTATGACCCAGGAACGGCGGGGACAAGAACCAAAAATGATAACGGGTCCATCTACCAAGCAGCATCCGTGTTTCTATCATGATTGCAGGATCAAAAACTAAAAACACAAAAATCAAAGGTACCTCGCCCGATATATTGCCAGGCGGTCGCCACAGAGTGGCCATTCCGTCCTACCCCCTCACAAACAAGTACCTAGTAGGCCGCTGCTACCTACCTTGCTACGTCACCACGACCAAAAAAAATCAAGACCACTAACCACTACCGCAAACAACACTACGTTGCACTCGACGCGTCGAAGAAAACACACGACGAAGGAAGAGAAACGCACGCCAGGAGAAATGCGAGGGAACATGAGAAGGACACCACAAGCCATTTCTCAACACCAGCATCGCCGCCGATGCCTCACGGCTCCTCGCCCTCGTCGTCGCTGATGTCCACCACCACCACGCCCGTGTCGTCGTCATCGTCGATCTCCAACACCTCCAGCAAGTTGCCGCCTCCCGACGACGAGTCAGCCTTGTCCGCACCGGCCGATGGCGCGTCGAGGGGCTCCCCCTGGGCGTTGGAGTTGAGCTCCTTGTTGGCCCAGGCCTCGTCTTCCGACCCGTCGAAGGGAAGCAGCAGGCCAGCCTTCCTCCAGCTCGCGCGGACTTCATCCGCGGTCAAGGCGTCCCACGACTTCTTGACCCACTGTGCGACTAACCCCCGCGAAGGGGCCTCCGGGTAGCCGTGGTCGCCGCGTTTGACGTGAGGGGAAGCCATGTGGTCGTCGTAGAGCCTGGACATGTTTGCCTTGAATATCTTGTTGACGAGGCCATCGCACGGCTGGAGCTTGGGAGTCAGGCCTCCCGGGATGAGAAACAGCGTCGTGTTGGACTCCGCCATCGCCTTGGTAGACGCGTCCGTCTTGTGGACGGTGTAGTCGTCCCACGCCAGCAGTGTCAGGCTGACGGTAGCCGCCCAGGCGACCCTGCCGCCCCGGGCGCTGGTTCCACACCTGAGGCAGCCAGACCTCGTTGAACACCCGCTGGGAGTGCCATGCCTTCGGGTCCACGGCGTAGACGACACCTCGAGGGTATGCGTAGCCCTTCTTGTCCTTGTAGTCCTTGAACTCGCGCTCGATGCTGTTGGTGGCAGGGGCCTTCCCCTTCGGCGTGGGCTGGCCCTTGAAGATGACGAGGGGCGGCAGCTAGCTGCCGTCGGCGAACACCGTCAGGACCGAAGTGATGCGCATCTTCTCCTTGCCGCCGGTTTTGACGCCAACCTCCTTGTCGCCGGTGCGCTGCGGGATTCCATAGAGCAGCGAAAAGCGACGTCAACGTCGGGTATGCAGAAACAATTTTTCATGTCAAGCTTGAAAATGAGAGCAGCGGTTGTAAAAAAATATAACCAAAATTAGCGGAGGACAGGACGCCCAAGAAAGACGGAAACTACGCATGTACATATATATCGTACACTCAAACTAGATACGTACAACTTCTCCCTTCTTCCCCTCGCTCCTCGACAAGCTTTTGTTTAGACATGGGTTGTAGTGAAGGGGGGGGTCTTTCTGGCGAGCAGGGCTAGACTCACCCTCAAGGGATGACCGAAACCTTCTTGCTGCTGCGCATATCCGCCGCGAGGCATGCGCGTGGTGGTGTAGTTGGGTCGGCACTGATGGGGTCAGGCGAAAAAATGTAGATGCGCGGGCCTCTGGCCGTCGGCGTAGGCAGCGATGCCCATCTCATTTTTTGTGCGCGGAGGCAGACACCGTCAGAAGGTGGACGGGAACTATGTACACGGCCCTAGGTTGGCTAGAGGGCGCTGCATTGCCTCAGTAACCTGGCTTCGCCATCAAAGGAGGAGGGAGCAGGTGGCGACGAGCTGAACTGGGCTGGTTGACCCCTTCGGCGCGAGAATTTTTATTTTTCAGACCAAGAACCTTGAGTGCAACGAGGGAGAAAGCGAGGAACCGACTGGGAAGGACAGCAACGGGAGCGTGTACGGAGGAGCAGGTCGAGTGGCGTTTTGCTCGGGCTGACTACAGCGGCACCGGACGGAGCAGCGGCACCGGAGCATGCGGGCGACATCGACCCGTGGCGCACGGACAAACATTT